AACGCGGTATCTCTCTGATTAACATCGTTTCGTGCGCTTTCACGACATTTTCATGATAGAAGTTTGGTACTTGTAACAAAAAAACAAACACCGTATATCGCTAGTTTACATCGTTTCGTGCGGTTTCACGTCTTTTGCATGATATCGCAGTTTCGTGCTTGCAACGGCACAGAACGCTGTATCTAGTTCGCATTTTTTTAGTGCGCTTTCACGATATTTGCAGAATATTGCAGTTTCGCACTTGTAACAGTACGAAACGCTGTTTCTCGTTACTTGACATCGTTTTTTTTCGACACTTCCTAAGCTAACCTAACCTAACTTTCGTACTTGTAGCATTAGGTTTTTCGCCCTATCTAGCAAATCCGCCTTCGTTTGTAGAAACTCATGGTATCCGTACTGCGGGGACTTGAGCCATCGAGATGAAATAAGCCGAAGTGCGAGTGCCTTAGCCATCACATTGTTTCAGCTGGATTACCAAAGCTAGAATGGCCTGGTACATACACTTAGAAGTGTGGCAGCCTTGGCTAGTTGGTATGGCATGACAATAGTTATAGCGCGAGAACCAAATGACGACACAGAGACAAGAAGGACACGAAAGACACAAGCGCTAACTTCCAACTGAGTTTAATTGCGCAGAGCGCGAAAATGTATAGGGGCAGTAAGTATGTGACAAAAAACATATGGCACAAAGAGCAGAACATGAGTAAGAGAAAAAACAAAAAACAAGAGCACAGAAAAACGGCAATCTATAAGAAAATGACACAGATAGGTAAAGACATAGACGCCATAAACGTGCGAGCTGCCGACAAATTGGATAGGTGGCGCTATCTATCGGGGCAATCGCGAACCAGGTAATCACGAAATTGTTATTGCAGAAACATCGTGCACTGTACCTCTGATGAAAAAACCGCGCACCGGCAGGTAACAAAGGAGTTACCTTTTTAATCATTTGCACCTCAAAAACATTACGCGCAAGCCAACGTATTCATGATTGTGGTTGCGTGAAGTTTCACAAGATGTCGACATTGTTGCGATAGCCTTGAATTTTTCACCCGTTTGCGCATACGAGAATACTGTACGCAATAAAAGAACGTCTCGTGATTTTGCCACAAGGGTGATTCGATCCTTGATTGATATGTGGGGTTTAACGTCCCAAAACCACTTCATGATTATGAGAGACGCAAGGGTGATTCGATCCTAACTACATTAAATGCGGTTTATATGCAGTTAGCATCACCATTTATGGTTTGAGCAAACATAGAGGTGTACGTGTTTATATACGTAAGTAAACGTTTACGTATGAGGAGCTAAAACGTTGAAAGGTTTGCGTTCCGGTACGACGGTAAACGCAAACATGTATCCGTTAACATGTTAACGGGAATAAGTATACGTACAAGCTAAAACTCCCTGATGTCACGGCCGCTGGCAGTGTTACTGTGCATTCTCTTTTTCTTTGTTGTGGTTTTTATTACGAGTCCAAGGGGTTAAATTGAACACAGACCATGAGTGTTCACATAAAAGCAGATCGTTTCAGTTTCCGCACGGGAGACTCGTTCACAAAATGATTGTGCAAACCGTTCGATTATGTATATTTTAAAATAGGACGCAGGAGCGTACATGTGGAGGAAGTTGCCGTCAAGGCAGCCTAGAAGTCGAATTCTTTTCCCTTTATTTTTGCTATTTTCACCCTATTACGATCTATTTCGTGGCTGGGTTTACAAACACCAGTAGTGTATCCAGGGGGTGGCACAGCAAATTCATGCTACTCCCCACCCCCCAAGAAAAATTATGATTGTATATGAGCATAAAATAGTGGGGGACCACCTCTACCTACCCGGGCACAATCCCAATCAAGGTTGTGCCCCGTCAAAAAAAAAAAAAAACTGCCATCACCCGTGACGCCCGTGACTTCAGCTCACAGGCTTGATTTCTCGCTAATATATTTCGTCAATAGAATAGGCCCATGGCCACTGTCACTTACTCTCAATGTTGTTTTGATCTGCAGGCTCAAATGTAGTCAGCTTCCAGAACTGATTCCTCTTCCAAGAGCTTCATGAAATATAACGCAGCTTATGAATGATGCTGAAAAAAAAGAACTGGACATTGGCGACTTTACTGAAGCATTAAATTGCCGTTTAGATCAGGGTACGCAAGACCTAGCAGCATGCACATTCAAGGACGCAAAATGATACGGTTGGATGATCCCACATCATAATTTACCCCTTTATAGAAGCTCGAACTGAACCAATCATTCATAATTTTCACCAATGTGGGGCTTGATGGCGATCGAATGTACAACGCGTGACCACCATAGCAATTTTGCGCAATAAATACTAGAATCGTGCTGCAGAGAAAAGTTTGAACTCTGAATAAGGCAAGCGCGTGTGCCAGTTTCATATTTTTGCCCGCAATAATAACAGAAAGGCTGCGGCTGCATACATGAGGCTGGGATAATGCTGGATTGCTTCCCGCAAAGCGTGGAATCCGCTTGCCCTGTGCTTCGTAGGGCTATGTGTGCTAAAAAAATGCAATTTGCGTATGCTTGCCATATCAACCGCGGCCCCTCTTTAGACTCAAACCTACAATGACTGAAGTGTTGTGGTTGCGCGCAATACTTGCAGCAAACATAAGTTTTTTCCTGTTTTTTGTACCGGTAATATTATACTTCAATTCTACACGGAATGAATTGCCACCTCCAACTGAAGCGGCGCGCTCACGCCCACTGTTCTCATTCAGGTGGCCATATTAGATGACGCTGGCAGTCCTGCATTAAGAGAATGAATACATGAATATACTTTATTTAAAGTTCGGCAGTTTTACCGGGCGAGGTGGGGGAAGAGGGAATTACCCCTGTCCCTTTCCACACTCCGTCGATTATGATGGTGGTGCCTCAGGTGACCGAAGTCATTGGACCTGGGCGGCACCTTCAGCTTGCGGAGGGCCCAAAGCTTGTCGGCAAGCTTGTCGCTTGTGAGTGCAACCTCCCAGCGGCAGCGCAGCTGACGTTGCCCTTGGGCAACAAATTTCTTAACTTGGCATGAACAAATCGACATGCGATGTAAGGTGGTTTGACGAATATGACACGCTGGTCAAGACATGAATAGTGTCCGAATCCGGTCGTGTACGTCATGAAACCCTTCATGCCAGACAGTGGCTCGTATGTGCCAATGTATGCGGGTATGTGCCACAGGTGATTGACGCTTCATATCTACCCAGGAACGGCGTGAACACAGATGAGACCCGTCTAATGCATACAATACAATAAAGTTCAAGTTCCCCGAAGGTATCAAGCGCCAGTATTCTGCGTGGCAATCAAGCATTCTACCACAGAGCCACTTCAGGTCCCGGAAATACCTTTCAAATATGTCCTATTGTTCGTGAAACGTCACTTGTGCCCCGGGTTATTGAAATTTTTGGAGTCCTCCACTATGGCGTCTCTCATAATAATACGGAGGCTAGGGACGTTAAACTCCACTTATCAAACAATAATGTCTGTGCGTGTAAAATTTGTACGTATATTTAGCGTCATTTTCTAACGTCTCTTAATAAAAAATCACAACACGGCCACCTTCTTTCAGCATGCTTCACAAAACGTCGATTCCCAAGGTACGTGGGATCTGCCGAATAGGTTTGCTTCAGAGCAAACATCTATTACGTCAGTTGTAGTTCACGCACCTCGGCCAGGTTAAGGTTGTATCAGAAACCTAATTATTTCTTTTTGTTTAACGTGTTCAAAGAGGCGCTCGATGGTGCTGCTGGGAGTATTTGGGCTCACCTGCATGCCTGCATGCAAATGTTGGAGAATCGTCAGCATGGCGTCCGCCACCGATTTTAGGAACAAAAAAAGATGTGCACGTGCCTTAAACGACAAATAAGGTGTTTGCTTTTGGAATAATAAACAAAAGTTGGTGGTAGTCTGCAAAAACCGCATGCTGGTTTCAGTTTTTAACTTTCACCGGCAGTACTACTGTCATCGCCTCCTCCGACCAGTCTTTGATCATTCATTCTACTGATGAAAATAGAGAAATGCAGATCGAAATATTCTATTTTAAAAATTTTTGCACACTTTTCACAGAAAACGCTTCAAAGTTAGCCACTTTAGATGGTGTGGTTCTTGTTGCGGCATAAAACAGAAAAGCAGTGAAGGCCGGTAGACAGTCCTCCTAAAAAAAGAGTGTGATGCCAATTTCACTCGCAACGTTCCATTCATTTCATCTTTTTTATGGTGCCATTCTCTCGACAATGCTAACTGTTGTACATAAGGGTGATATTTATTCACTGGAAACAAAAAAATACACCCAGTTGGGAGTGAAATGCACGTTCTCTATTGACCACCCTATTGGGAGTAGTTTTTCCTCCGAACCTCAGAAGCAAAGTTTTTACCATGGCTGAACGGAGTGATTGCGTGACGCAGCCGGAGTACTATTCACTGATATTTCCCACCGACCAAACTAGAGCGATTGTGAATTCCTTGCTTAGGCTTGCTATTGTGCTTGTGGTTCCCAATGCTCACTGTGAAAGAAAAAATACTCCCAGATCGAATTAAAGTACCTGTCCTCAAGCGACCCCCTTATTTCGGAGCAGTTTTTACTACGGCTGTCTGGAGCAATTGTGGGCCGAAGTGAACTTGGTTATCACTGATATTTTCCTTCAGCCGACCAGAGTAGTTGCAGTTTTTTGATAGTGCTATAGCTGTTGTGCGTGTCGTTCAAGATTTTATTAGAACCGTACACCCTTGTTAAACACAACCTGAAGCGACCAGGCGAATGGGTTCTGTTCAACAAGAGTTTTATTCACTGTACGATTATCATTGGGGCAGAATTCAAGTGGGTAACCAGTCATGTTACAGAAAGTTGTCTCATTTAGGCAACAGTACCGTTCAAAGTATTTCTATTTACAGAGTTTCTTGTTCTACGTACGTATCACGTCTTCTTTCAAGGTCTGTAAGTGTTCTGATTGTTGGAAGCGTTCGTTTTTCACCACGATTTTTCTCTTCGTAGTTTGAAGGTGACGAAGAGGAGAAAGAGGGAAAGGAATTGGGTGACGAAGTGCCCGATGACATGGACAAGAACGTAGACAAAGAACAGGGAGAGAAAGAGGGAGACAAGAAGAGGGATGAACTTTGAGAGGACAAGCATTGCCTGACACCCGGCCTGCACACGATGCTGGACAGTATTGCGACACAGGTGTTCCATACGAGCACAGAATGGCGCATCTGGTGAAATGCCTGATGCCACTGACGGAAAAATTATGGAAGCAGTACTGTCATCTTCCGCCTACTGGAGTCCCGTCCAATATCGAATTATTTTCAGGTGCAAGGTCATTTGGAGTGTACTCGGGCTTTGTGTGGAGACCGAATCGATAGTGTCTAAATGACCACCTTTTTGTGAAGCAGCTTTTTTTCAAGCGCAGTCAGCGCTGTGAACATTCCAGCAAAGCATAATAAATGTACATATTTTCATCACATAGTGCTGTTCGCTATTGATTTTAACATTGTGCGTGTCTTGCAAATTTAACTGTGCTGTAACAATAATGAAAATATTATGAAGTTTTGATAGTCTTGGTTGCGACAGCGTTTACTTGAGGAAAGACCTCGCAAAACGAACGGGCAGAGCCAGTACACAGACGATGACGATGATGATGCCACAGAGTGGCCATGAGGACAAAGAGACAAGTGGATGATGATGATTATGATCATGCAGGGATGAGAACGAGGTAAGTAACAAACACCCACAATAATTACCCACCCCCCCCCCATCGAGGCGGACACACTGGCCGCCGTAAGTCAAAGTGATGGAGAACGTCGCGTGAAAGGTTTCATGCGTGAAACGTGGGCGATCTCGGTGCTTTGGTAACGGCGGCCGATTGGGGCGACAAGTGGTGTCGCACGATAGTTTACCGGCGAAGTCTGTTCTAAAATTATGTATGGCCCGATGAAGCACGGTTGGTGTTTGTCCCAGAGATCAGGAGTGCGACTAGGTGCCAAAGCAGCACCTCGTCACTAGGTCGGAAAGACACAACGCGATGAGATGCGTCATAGAAACTCTTCCGCTCGTGCTGTCTCGCTTCATTATTGATGCGAGACTGGGCCAGCCGGGAAATGCATTCTTCGCTAGAAGACTGGCATGAATTGCCATGGCTGTTAAAGAAGGAGACGTTCAGAAAGGTAGTCGGGGTGCGTCTGTACACGAGGCAAAATGGTGAGTAGCAAGTTGTTCGCTTAACGGCGGTATTGTAGACGAAGTTCAGGAATGGTAAAAGAGTATCCCAGGTTTTGTGGTCCGGTTGGGCGTAAACGGCTATCATGTCAGTTAGGGCCCTTACACGCGCTAGCCGCACACCCGCTCCACACGTGGCGGGACCCCTGCCGCCTGCAAACGGAGAGCGAAATGGCGGCCCGGCGCCAAAATGCAACACAAGCGCTAGCCGCATGAGCGGATCAGATGCGCCCTTTGATTGGACGATGCGACGCTGTTGAGGCTGGTAACCATTTGGCGAAGCTTCAGTTTTCAAAGTCAGCAACCATCACCAACAGCAGACGACGCTGACAAGTTCTTGAATGTGTTGGTTAAAGCCGCCACGTTTATCATGAAATTGAGGCTGTTGTATTTTCACAACGCGTTTTTCGGCCGCAAGTGTTGCGTCGCCGTAGCCATCTGTGTTCGAGGCTAATTACGCGCTCCCTTTTAGTTGTGGCCATCGTGGTTACCGCTCACAAGTCCTGTCGCTTGAGTTGCATTTGGCGCGACGGCGATCTTTTACAACTAGCAGGAATGTGGGCGCCAACACGCACAAACGCTTTGTATTACAATGAAGAAAAGGCCTAAAGTGGCAGTGGCAATGCACGCTGCGATACCGCGATGCTATCTAAAATAGCTGAAAGAATCGACTGGTCAGTAATGTTTATGACTGGGCGCTGGTGTATATCGTTGTGCGCGGCTTACTGACGCACTCTTTACTTTGCTCTATACAAGTTCGCGTTTGCTCTATAACATGTCACAATGAGCTGGACAAGTATTGAAGTAATCTAAGTTTCAGCCTAGAAGTAAACTGTTTAGCATGTGTGATATATTCATTAAATTTGGAATTAAATGTATGTGCATATCAAGTAGTCATGCATAATATGTGAGGCGTTATAGCTTGTTTTTTTAAGGAATATCAATATTAAGCGTAATGTGTGTTTACATTTTATTCAACACATCTTGTTGCTGTCGAAAACACATGTCTGCATTATTTGTTGGTGGACGTAAAAAATGACACTACAAACATCGCTGTTATTTGCGGTCACAAACTTTTACCCACTTTCCGGTCGTTCCGGTCCGAAACTATTTCACTAGTTTGAGGCACCACGAAAGAAAACAACTGTGGAAAATTAACTTGGCGGTTGTTTATTTCGTCAGTTCCTCTGTGTCCCCAAGTTATTTAGCGATACTTGGGCAGTGTGTGGAAGCGTTCAAAGCACTCTCCTGGGTGCAGTCCGGGATTATTTCTGCAGGTTTATCAGAAGAACACTGTTTTCCTCCCGCCTCCTTTTGTTTTCCGGTCACTGCAAACAGCGCAGTCCTTGCTGCTTCGGCCAGGGAGCTTGTAGATGAAATGGGGCTTTCCATCCAGCCTTTGTTCGCAATCCAATCTTGCAGATGGGCCCCGCTTCCCAGGGCGAGCCCTTACGTCACCAACCAGCTGCTCTATCAGGTTCCTCCGGTAATGGAGGTGTCGCTGCTCTTTCTCTCCCTGCTTTAGGAGCTGCAGTCTCATCAAAATGAAGCTGTTCACTATCGAAACTTCAAGAAGCCAAAAAAAAGCTTCCTCGACCATTTCTTTGACTTCCGGGAAAATGCATAACTTGCACAGTAATGATCGGCCCTGTCCACTGCACCCATGTTTTCAGTGTAGTCGCATATCACCACAGGCTTCTTCAGTGTTAGTTGTTCCTCCAGCTATCTTCCTTGGCACTTCTTTCGTAGATGCATTGTGGACTGAGCTTAGCATTGTCACTTGACGCTTATCCCGCCAGGCAAGGGCCATGTACGAGTTTCCTCTGCGATAAGCCGTCACTTCATCTTTTTTCATCTTTTTTTTGAGCTGCTGCGGCATTGGTTTTCGATTTGTCATCACAGCCCCAGTTAACAAAATACTGCGCGAGAGTAACTCTTCCGCAAGCATTGGGGACGTATAAAATCTGTCTGTATACAGATGATAGCCACTGCCCAGTGTAGCTTGCTCCACTTTCTCCAGCAGGTGGAGTACAATCCTTCATGAAAGGGAAGCTCGGGACGGCAGGGGCTATAAGTTGTTGTGCTGCCGTAGTATGGTTCGAAGGCCGAAATGTAGCCTGTTTGGCAGTCAGCCAGCGCATAAACGCGCATGCCCCATTTTGTTGGCTTCTGGGGATTGTAGCACTTGAATGAGACTCGGCCTTTGAAGCCGACAGTACTTTCATCTACGCAAATTTCGGGGCCGGCGTTGAAATGCTCTCTGCATTTAGCATCTATGTAGGTCACAACATCCCTGATCTTGCTTCCACGAGTTGGTGGACCTGAAGAGGTATGTGGGATTGGTGCAACGTGCAGCATCCAAAATAATTGAAGAAACCTTTTTCGTTTGAAAACGTGTGGGAATAAGGCATCTTCTTGAGGAGGTCGTGGCTAAAGTATTTCTTCAGCTCTGGTTGGGGTTCAAGGCCATGTTCACTATGACCCCTAGGAAGGCTTTGAATTCTTCCACGCGCACATCTTCCCAGTCATTCCAAATCGAGTACTGCTGAAGAACACCGGCACTCGAGATTTTATCACGGGCGTAGCGGTTTGTTTCACGCACTATTTGCTCAATCAGCTGGTCGGTGAAGAACAACTGAAAGTAGTCCAACTCGCACTTTACATTGGAAGAGCTTACTTGAGATCCCGGGTTCGGGACAGTAAAGGGAAGAGGGTCAAAATCTGGTAAATTATCCAAGTAGGCTGTCCAGTCGGTTCCACGTGGTCCTGCGTTGTTCTGGTTGATGATGATGATGACCTATTATGGATGGCGCTCACCCACAGAGAGGGATGGGCCAAGAACCGGGCGGCAGGATACTTAATTGGAACTAAAATGAAAATGAAGCCAATCTGAAAAAGTAGTTCAAATATAATGCTACCAAAAAAAACAAAAATGTCTCATTTTTTGATAGACATAACTACGAATTATAAACTAAAAATCTTAAAAGGTTGGGGTTCATTAGCACGGTAATATTTTAGTTGCATTGATGTAATCAAACACAGTGGAGCATACATCCCTGTGGCAGTAACCAAATGAAGTTCCGCCAAGTGATAAAATTACTGGTAGATTTACTTGTATTTCTAGCTTTTGTAATGGGGCTACTAAAAATCTTTTTTTCTGAGAAGAATAACGATGGCAGAACAAAAAGAAATGTTCAATTGTTTCAATTTCCTTGCACCAAATGCATAGCGGTGGCGCCTTGAGTCGAGCTTTGTTAAGGTAATAATTTAGTTGTGGAACTGCACAGCGCAATCTGGTATAAGTGACCTCTAACTGGCGAGATACACACAACTGTTTATTCCAGCAATAGCTCAAATGCTCGAAATTTTTGAATTTATTCAAATTACCTTTTCCCCACAGCAGGCAAGCATTTCGGAACCTTAGCGCTGTCACGTAAGCCATATCTGGCAAAACTGGGATGGTGGGCCCACCCAGTGATACTGCTGCTAAAGAGTCCGCCATTTCGTTCAAATATTATCCGCGGTGGCCCGGTACCCATAGCAAGTGCAGTTTTTTTACGTTTTTCGGTACTAAAGCCGAAACGTATTCATCAGCTCTACATTTACTGCCGCAGAAAGTGCATTACAAACTGATAACGATTCTGTAATGATAACTGCTAATGATTCGCTTGAGGGCAATTTGCGTAGGGCAAGAACAATTGCCAATATTTCTGCAATGAATGCCGGGGTATAATCGTGGAGTCGAATCGAAAAGGACCAGTCCAAAGAAGGAGAGAAGATGCTGGTTGTATCCACCGTCTCTACCAACCTCGTTTTCTTCCTCGCTGTCTTCTGTAGAATCACTTTCTTCCTCGCTGGCTTTTGTAGCCACATAGTTGTCTTCGTCACTAAAATCGTCTTCGCTTTCGCTAAAAGCTTCAGAATTACTGCCGTCGAAGGCACTCGGTGAAAAGGCGGCCATTTCGCTGCAAGCGGCGCAATCTGAACTGCGCGCCACTCGAACAATCGAAGAGTTCAACCGCGTAAACTGCGCCATCTGGTGAAAAAAAACAAAGCTGAAATCAAGGCAGTTCATGCCTTTTATAAGAGGTAGCGCAACATGCAGAATAAAAAATTGCGCGCGCAGTTGTCACAGGTCCCATAATTAGTGAGGCAATCACCGGGCTAATTACAAGGGCAGAAGTATCGGCCCCCCGAACCGCACCACGAAAGCGTGGACAATTTAGAAGTGGTCCTTTTTGGCGCGCCAGCGGACGCCAGCTGTGGCCCAAAGAACAAGTCAGAGCCGAGAGTTGATAAACACAACAAAATTATATTCTCAATAATGGCAGATAAAAAAATGATACACAAATATGCACACTCGACAATAGTAGAATACAATATGTCACCAATCAAACAATGTACTACACAGTACAATCAGCCACACTCGAAACAACGGACACAGACAACAATACGCACTACAATGCAGTCGCATGCATTGAACAACCCAGATATTTAAGACTAAAGAGATAGAAAACCTATTCAGTCCAAAGTTCTTGGAAGAAAAGTCTGGATAATACTCTTCCGAGAATCACTCACTCAAAGTCCAGCGTTGTTGTCCTCCCGCTGTCCCCGAAGTCTCTCTTCCAGGAAACCTCTGTCGTTCCGCTGCCCCCGAAGTTTCTCTTTCAGGAAACTTCGCCGAAGTTTCTCTTCCAGGAAACCTCGCGTCTTCAATAGGCCACTCTCCAAGCTTCAACTTCTTCGCCGGAAACACGTCGGCTTCACACACGCAGCTGTTGCCACGCGTCTTCGCTCGATAGCAGTAAACATACACTCTTGCCTGTAGCTCGAGTCGTCACCCCTCAGGCGGAAATCATCTTCTTCTGCTTTGTCTCTACGGACAAAACCTTCGCCGACTACACGGCAGAATACCTACGCGCTCTGGCGCTAACTTCCGTCTTCTTCTGATCTCCCATCTCCGCTGCTCGGTTAAATACCTTCCGCGCGCGATTCCAGAAAATTCTCATCATTTCGTCGGCGTGATGCGCAGCGAAGGCTGGGGGAAAGCGCGAGACGGTACGAGGGCCGTCCGCGACGGATGACTCAACCCGGCATCACCCCGCCCCTTTCCATCTAGAAATTTCGAAGGCTTGCTCGGCCGCCGATGTGGGGTGAGGAGGTTCGTCGGCGAACCTACGCTTCCGAAGGGAAAGGGACGCGTGCCCGGGGAGTCTTTGGATGCTTGTTTTCTTTTTATTTATCGTTGACCTCGCGGCGTCACTCCGGCGTTTCGTCGCGAGAATTTGGCGGCGCGCCCTTTTTAGAGCACTCGTTTTGTGACAATGCCCTCCACTTTACGAATATTATCTCATAATATTCAAAACCACACAAACGAGTGCGAACAGTCCCCACACTCTCAAAGACTGTAACATAGTTCGTCGCTCATGGCACGTCACATTCACAATAGATCACTCAATACAATTGTACATTGCAATTCAATCTCAAAGCACATGAAATATAACCACAGGTACATGAGTATAACACTCCAACACTCCATCACATATTCCAAACAATACAAATGTACAAGGTTCTCTCATTACAACAATTGTACATTACTATACATCACATCACCGTAACAAAATTTTTGACTCACTCGAACATACACTTGTGACACAGGATAACAAGAACATTAACTCAACACATGGTACTCAGCCCTGCCAAACACATTCCGATCAAACCTCAGTACCTATCCTGTGTACCTTGAGCAGCGCTTGCGCCCTTTCTTGCGGTGCTCGCTCGACCTCTTCTCGTTTTTCCTCGTACTTTTTCGGCGAGCCCTTTCCAACGACGGTGCCTGAGGCGGCATCTCAGCCATCGTTGTCACTTCCGACACTGTTAACGGGTCATAACGTTCAACCGATCCGGTCACCCTCTTGTTCATGTCACGACATTGGGCCTGGCTTTACACTGCCGGTCATTTGAGGTTGTGCCGACGTAAGTCCAGCTGCCCAGCACGTGAACTCGTTCTACACGATCATCTTTTCATTCACTGTCTCTTGCACCCGGGCTTCACCTGGGGCCCGAGTGAAATCCTTCAGGCAATTGTTCTCTGCTGTATCTCGCGGTCCCTGTGTCGGCGGGGGCTCAATCTTCGGGTTTTCCCTCAAACATTCTGGATCATTCGGTTCTCGCGCCCTGTCGATGTTTCTGATGACGAGGTCGTACAGGGGGGTCGTCATGCATAGAGCCGTAACCTTCCCGCTGAAGTACGGGGTTTCAACCTCAATCTCTGGTTCGGGAAACCTCCGAACCGTACTGTCAATTAGACAAACCGGTTTCGTTTTGACCGTTAACTCACTTTCCCGCACCAAATTTCTTCGCACGATAACAGTGGAGCTACCGGTATCTCTTAACACCGTATACCTTTTTGCCCGCAACTTTTCCAGACAGCGTTGGCATTCCCTTCGTAACACCGGTTGGCTGTTTTGTCCTTACAGCACCCACAATGGGAATTTTCTCCCCAATTTTCAATTCTACGAATCCGTCGGTCACGGCATCACCATCGGATTTCGGTGCTGCTAGCACACAGGATACCTGGTGAGTTTGACTCGCTCCGTTACGACATGCGTCTGCTTTGTGGCCAGTCTGACCACACTTGAAACATTTTACTACCGTAGGGCTCGTAAAAATAGTACGACAGTTGTTCGCGCGATGACCCACTCGGTTACACAGAAAACATCGCGGCACACTCTCCAGTGCACGCTTCTTTTGTTCGGGTGCCGAATTTTTTGAATCTGCAGGACACTCCTTCTTGACCTTGGCCAAATTAGTGCCACCCAGCGCTTCCAAGAATTGGTCAGCTAATTAAAGCATGTCTTCAAGTGACTTAGCTCTCCTCTCTTTCAAGTACAGCGACAGGCTTGGGTGACAACTAGTAAGAAATTGTTCTCTAATTAGGAGCTCTCTAAGCTCATCAAACTCCTGCGCTGTCCCTGAAAGTTCAATCCATCTGTCGAAATAATGGCAAAGTCGGGCGGCATACTGCGTAGCCGTCTCACCATCAGCTGGCTTCCTGTCCGAAATCTGTCCCGGAAACCTTCCACAGTAAATCTAAATCGCTTCAGCAAAGCAGCTTTCACCTTGGCATAGTTGGCTGCATCGGTCGGCGTCAGCCTACCGTACACACTGAGCGCTTCACCACTCAAGCAAGTACTCAAAGCAGTTGCCCATTGATGTTCTGGCCACTTCTGGCTCCCTTGCAATCGTCTCAAATCTGTAAAGGTACGCGTCAAGGTCGTCCTTCCTTTCATCAAACGCTACGAGCAGCTTGCTTGGGTTCAAGCGGAAGCCATGAACTTTCCGTTCGCTGCTTTGAACTCTAGCTTGGACGGGAGTTTCACTTCGCTGTTGCAAACGGAGCCGCTCGAGTTCCATTTCGTGCTGGTGGTGGTAGTGGTTAGAAGAAAGAGGAAAAAGGCACCTTATTTCTGTCTGCCTTCAGGCGACACGACGCAGTGCCTTATAGGGGTTGGGGGAAGCAAGGATAAAAAGAATAGAAGGAAAATAGACGAAGAATTAGACAGGCAAGCGACGGAAAAAAAGAAGGAGATAGGAAAGTGTGGATCCGGTCGAAGCAGTCCAAGGGCGGGGCGCCACAATGCGAGGGCTGCACGGCGTCAGGAGACCACGGAGGGCGAACCAGTCGGCGGGAGCTACGCTGGTGTCGGAGATTGCGAGGGCACAACCGTCCAGCTTGAAATCCTGCGAGCGAATCCACATCTCGTGCTGCCGCTGCCGTTCCCTTTCAGCCATCTCCGCTTCTCTTTCTTCTTTTAGCTGTCGCTCCCTCGCTTCTCTTTCTTCTCTCGCCCTTTCGGCTGTGAACTTCTCTCTCTCCAGCTCCAACTTCAATTGCTGCTCTCTTTCTTCTTTCAGCTGTTGCTCCTTTGCCTCTCTTTCTTCTTTCGCCCTTTCCGCTGCCAGCTTTTCTCTCTCCAACTCCAACTTCAATTGTTGCTCTCTTTCTTCCTTCGCCCTTTCAGCGGCCAGCCTTTCTCTCTCCAACTCAGCTGCTTTTTCTTCATTGGCCCTCTCAGCTGCCAACTTCTTTCTCTTCAGCACCTCTTTCTCCTTCTGGCTTACCCATTTCCGCAGTTCGGCGCCAGAAAGACCCATCTTCTCACCAAGAGCAACTGACTTTTCGAGATCTATGGTGTCTCGCAAATAAAGTCTTGCCGCGTGTAAAAGTATCTGCCTAAATCAGTCTATCGGAACACTCCCCTGCACTCGTTAACGAGAACACTGAGTAACACACAAAATCGTTCCGATAGCACTATCAACAACTCGAGGCTCTTTCTCACTACTTTGGACACACTGTGCACCAAAAGTCCTGTCGCGGACGCCAGATTAATTGTCACAGGTCCCGTTAATTAGGGAGGCAATCACCGAGCTAATTCCAAGAGCCGAAGTATCGGCCCCCCGAACCGCACCACGAAAGCGTGGACAATTTAGAAGTGGTCCTTTTTGGCACGCCATCGGACGCCAGCTGTGGCCCAAAGAACAAGTCAGAGCCGAGAGTTGATAAACACAACAAAATTATATTCTCAATAATGGCAAATAAAAAAAACGATACACAAATATGCACACTCGACAATAGTAGAATACAATATGTCGCCAATCAAACAATGCACTACACAGTACAATCAGCCACACTCAAAACAACGGACACAGACAACAATACGCACTACAATGCAGTCGCATGCATTGAACAACCAAGACACTTAAAGACTAAAGAGATAGAAAACCTATTCAGTCCAAAGTTCTTGAAACACAAGTCTGGATAATACTCTTCCGAGAATCACTCACTCAAAGTCCAGCGTTGTTGTCCTTCCACTGTCCCCGAAGTCTCTCTTCCAGGAAACATCTGTCGTTCCGCTGCCCCCGAAGTTTCTCTTTCAGGAAACTTCGCCGAAGTTTCTC